AAAGAAAAAAAAAGAAAAAAAAGACAAAACGCTGCCTCTGGGTAAACAAGGTTGAGGAAGGTGTTCGATACCCGCATTGTTTCATGACTGCGTTGGAAGTGTACGTTGTTGGGTTGGCGTATAAAGGGTTGCAAATATATGTACGTTGGTCTTTGCTTCGCCTTGTTGTAGTGTGCCCGGTCGTGAAAAAAGTGTCGTCTGTCTCATATGTACTGCCCACATGCCCAGAAAGAAAAGGAAACAAAAGCCGTGGTCACAGATCAGGCTTTGCCAGCATCCCTGACGGCCCGCATCCACCTCTCCTCTTCACCGTTGCCGCCAACAACACGAGGTGCCTTTTGTTCTGATGAAAGGTTCAGCGTGGCCTGGACGTCCGCCATGTTCTTAGCACTGAGGAGCGTCATCTCATTTCTGAGGAGATAGGCCACGCCGGCACGGATCATGATGGCATCGCCTTCAAAGACATAAACATCCCATAGCCGAGTGGCCTCGTCCAAGGCGAGCTGGCGGGTGAAAAGGGAGGTGAAGATTTCGGAAAGGTAGGCATCCGGGCTGTGGTCAGGGAGGTTCGTCAGATGGTCGCAGAGGTTGGGTGCCTTCTGGGCCAGAGTCTGCAGCAACAGGTTGTAGGCAGACGACTTGGCCCCGGCGTCAGATGCATAAAAGCTGAGTGGCAGGCCCCGATTAAGGACGTTGGCAAGTGCAATGAAGGCATCAACTGGGGTTGGGAGGTTGAGAAGCAAAAGTGCCGCGATGGTCTGTTTTGTGGTTAGCATGAGCCAAAAAGAACAAGAACCGGTAAGCAACTCACGTTACACCCAGACACGTAGCCAATGTCACTGCGGTACATGGAATAAGCCTTCAACACATCGACCAAGCTCTGGTTGAGCGGGCCTCCAGGCTGGAAGATGCGAAGGTCTGGCCATGTTCGGTCCTGGACGTCGCTTCTGATCAAGTCAAACCAGCCAACCGCACGGGTATCTTCCATGCTGGCATGTCCAGACTTTGTCTTTGCTTCGGCGTCACGGGCACGGCTCAATGCAGCGTCAAAAGATGTCTTGGTCAGGCCCAAATCATTGCCAATCGCCCTGGTCCATACGGCTCCTCGACTCCGTGGTGCGATTCCTCGCCACCACATATCCCTCGTCCTGCGCTCGCGAACAGCCTCGTTCCACCGGGGCAAAATATCACGTTCCCAAATCGCCATCATGCTGTTTGCTGCGATATCACGGCACTCTGAGCGAACACGCTTCGCATCTTCCCGACGCCTCTCGGCCTCCTGGCTTTGGGCCATCATCTTCTGGTACTCCTTCAGGTGCCTGCGCTCCTCGGCAGGATCCTTGGGGGGAAGCCAAGATGGGCGGGTGCGGGACAGGACGGCCTCTTTTTCTTTGGAAATGGGTAATGGATCAATCATGATGTTGGATTTGCGGAGAGGGGGCAGTTCGGCAAATGCGGACTTGACTCTGGGCTTCGCATCCGTCTCGGAGAGCCTTCTGGGGGTAGGCATCGAGCCTGTGCTAGACCGTTGAGCTCTGTGCTCCAAATCCTCGGCATGCTCCTCAAGCTTCTCTGTGAGGGCCTTGGCGTCGGGGTTCAAGTCGTTCAAAACCGAGTTCCAGCTCTTGGATCTCGTTGCCACAGGGCTCGTCACCCTGCTGGAGGCGGCGGAACTGAGCGTGGAGAGGGCAGATTCGGATTTCCACATGGGGGATCGGAGGCAGCCTTGGGCCACGGCAACCGGAGGTGTACCATTTCCGACACTGCGCACTCTCTCCTTGGGAGTTCGCTCTGGGGATGGCGTTTTTGACGAGGGCTGGCTTTTGGTGCGCTCACTGGGCGGCCTGGGCGAAAGGGGAACGTTGTCCAGAACAAGGCCGTCGGGAATGTCGTCTCCGTCATCCTCGTCGCACTCCAGCTCGAGTTCCATGGCCGACTTGCGCTCTCGGCTGGACTGCCAGCTGCTTCGTCGTGGCTTCGGAGCAAGGTTGGTGTCTCGTGGGGCGAGTGTGAACCCACCTGGACTGGGGCTTCTGTGCCGCGCAGTCAAGCTCAAAGCAGGACGCAGAGCGAGGTTGCGCATTGGCAGTGGGCTGGTTTGCGGTTCCGGCAAAGGCCCAAGGCTGTTCACGCGGCCATTGACAGCTCGCAGGCTGGAGCTCTGCAGTGGAGCGATACTGGGGCGCGATTTGACCGAAGAGGCGGAATCCCGCTTTGAGCGTGTCCTGGAGGATTCGCGAGAGCTCTGGAGTCGTGGCGTAGAAGCCGACATGGGCCGCTTCGTAACGGATCGCGAATCGTAGGGATTTGTAATGCTCTTGGGGTCGGATAACCGTCGAGGATCGATTTGGCCGTCATCGAGCCCAATTTCTTCAAAGTGACTAACATCGGCAAGCACACTGCAGTCGTCCGAGGCAATGGAGCTGAGGGAGGAGGATTTCGAGGATTTGGAGGCCGTCATGCCCGGAGGCGAACCTGGACCGGGCAGGACGGCATCATGAACGGGTCTCTCATAGATCATCATCTTGGCATGATCCACCAACAAGACCGATGTCGATATGCGAATTGGAAGGTTTTATTGTTTGGTTTCCTGAAGTCGAGAATATGGATGCGACGGGAAGCGTCGCAGTGCAGTCGTTTCGGAGCCAACCGCTGGATTGACGATATGGCGCACGGCGTCTGAGCGGCAAACCCCTGAAATGCCGAGTAGATGTCTCACGATAGGGTTTGGGTCGAAGAGCGATTGGGCGACGGGAACAAACAAACGTGGCGCGCGACTCGGCTCGCAACAAAAAGCAGCAGCTGGTGATATATTAACTACTCCGGTACGCAGGATGCTGTGAACGATTGATTTTCTTCGTATTATGCTGCGGGCGGCTGCAATAACTATTATGTAGCGAATGTCGTGGTTGTGTGGTGTGGTGTGGTGTGGTGCTATGGTGGTGGCTGGTGTGGGTGTGAGATGAACGAGTGTCTGGCCGACGTCGAGGAGACGGACGGGCCTATTGTTTGTTAAAGAAGGGGGGAAAAAGAGCGACGTGTCGAGGGAATCTGGAATCAGGAATCAGGAAATCAGGATGGAGAGAAGGAAAAAAACGAGTCAAGATGCGGTGGGCGATGGGCGCGCAAATGACGAAGAAACTAACGGCGCAAGCGAGAAGGGGGTAAGAAAGCGCGGGTCCGGAAATCAGACCTGGCATCAAATGTGGGGCACAGCCTATGAAAAGCTGCCGCCAGCATCTCCCAAGATGAGCTAAAACCAAGGCACAAAGGGAAGCCAGGAACCGGTATCTCGATTGAGAGAGTCGTGATATCAGATGCAGACATTTCCCTGTGTTGTTAGAGATAAGCGTGGAAATGCTCCAATCCGGTTGCGGCCGCCATCTGATATCATTCTCCATCCGTCCATCCTTCCGGCCATGGTGGACAAAAACACCGGCCACGGTTAATACCCAACGGTACAAGCTGAACAGGCGACGGTGCCCCCGCCAGTAAAGTCATGACTTGTACTGCCTCCCCGGAACAACGTACCCAGACCAGGCCCATGCAGAGCCACTTGTGCACTCCCGATTCATGAAGATATTCGGAGTCAGTCAGCGGCCTGCTCTGTTCCCTCCCCACCAACAAGGCCACCGACAGCAGAGGTTGTGAAACAGGTGTGGGAGCAACGGCGAGGTGCGGAAACACTGTGGCTTGCAGCTTCACCACTCTGCCCGCGGGCCGGCTGTGGCGTCCGGATGCTCTCCATGAGGGAACACCCTCATTTCTCACCCCCAATCTCGATGCATTTCCCACTCTGTAGAAAATGTAGAAAAAGTGGACTGCAACTTCGTCAACAGAAATGCACCTTGAATATCTCCATTTTGCTTTTCTTCTTTGTTTTTTTTTTCTTTTTTTCTCATCGTTCTAGAATTGTGAGATGGAGCAATCGATCGGGGCCTGGAAATGAAGGAGGGGCGTGCCTAATCTCAGGACAGGGCCTGTGGCGGGGAAGACGTTGTTTGGGGATTCGGTGGTTTTATGCCACCGCCAGGCACAGCACCACAGAAACATCGCGCATAAACCGCAACGCCTTTCCACATTCCAGGGTCCTCCTCCATCTCCAACTCCCCGCGTCTCACGGTTGGCAACTTACATGTCGCACAGTAGGCCGGTCGGTTCGGTTGAGGTTGATGATCCTCGGGAGCTGATCTCGGGGGAGCAACCCGGGATTGCTGCGGTAGCAAGCAAACGGATCTCGCCGGTAACACCGTCTCGCCCACGATATCCACACTTCGGGCCCCGATTATTTTCAGCTCCTTTTGAGTTTGGCCACTGTTTCGCTCCACCGGCTTCAGCTGCTTTTACCAGTCGAAGGTCCTTCTCCACGATGGCTTCATGCAACGTTTGTCTGGTGTCACTCTGAAAAAGACGTTTTATATCAACGTCCCTTTTCTCATTTCTTTTTCACCTTTTCCTTTTTGCCAGCCCTATCGTGTCACCGTTTTCTTGCAACCAAGCAAAGTTGCTGATTTTGCAAAACTTAGCTCCCGGCTGGGCAAGCGGCATTACTCTAGAGAACCCACTGCTAGCTCTTGGCGACAATGACGGCTTCATCCACGAAGCATCTTCTGAACAAAGCTGTCAGGCATAACTGACTTGGTAGTTATCTAAGCTAAGTGTCGGCAGGTGTTGGACTGGCCACTGGATGCTATTTCCAAAGTCCCTTGGTTTTACCTATCTGAAGGCACATAGCCTACTTCTCGACTCTTTGCTGTCTTGATCTTACTGGAGCCCCTGAACCCGCCATGAGCAGAACAAAAGTAGCGGAGACTATTGCTCCTGCATGGACCCAACGACGTCACAAGATGATATGGGATCAGAGGAACAGTGTAGAGGAAGGAGCAACCCTTTGTCTGTTTGCCAGGTCACCGAGTGGCCCCGTGATGCTCTTCGGTTGAGTCGCTCCAAGGCCCCATCTCAAAAGATGGTCGACCAGCTTCCTCCTGGCTATTCAAGCCATGACTTTTCCTCTCCTCAACGATTTGCCCTCCAGAAACACAACCAGCCCATCCAACACCTGCAGAGCAAACCTCAAGATGTTCGCCTCTGTCAACACGCTTGCCATCGGGCTCTTCGCCCTCACCACCTCCTTGACCAGCGCTCAAGGAGGCCCGGGCTTCGAGAAATTCCACGACTTTTCCAAGACCTGCACCAACATCACCCTTGATGGTTACGGTCTTTCAGCTGACTGCACACCCCTTGACCCCTCCAAGCCTTTGGTCAAAAACCCCGTTACCGTGCTGGACTTCTGCGTTGGTTTCAACGACATCACTATGAAGCTCGCGGCCTCCATATATGGCAAGCTCAGCAGAGACTGCGACAAGTGCATCCTGACTGCCGATCCTGGGGCTATTCTGCAGTGCGAGTGCGAGTTCTGGGACACGAACGAGGAGAAGTACGCGATCAAGAATGTGACAGGGGATCTGGGTAAGTTGTTATTTTCCCTCTCTTCCAGACCTTGAATCGTGAAGACACTCACGACCAAAGGTTGCTAACAAAGTAAACTTACAACAGACACTGTCTTCACCAACTATGACGGTACTATGTCATGCGTCGGGACTGAAACAGAGAGCACACCCGACGACTGGACCACTACTCTTACACCCACCGCCTTCCCCACGACTTTTGCTACCTCGACTACTGAAATCAGCACCCAGTCGAAATGAGATGGATTCGGGCATTTGGAAACAAGGGGGCAAAGTTCGGCTGTGCTGGACTCACATCAACCAGACTGGCTTTGGTGCCTAGGTAGGTAGTTAGGTCTGTAACTGGTACTTGGTCAGCAAGATGCAGTGTCTTGCTTTCTCTCGTCATCCACAATTCAACAGTAGGTTGGCATCCGGGTGTCTGGCTCCTGTGAATCGACTTCACCATTGTGAAGATAACAGCGTTCAGGCAATCACCGGAAACCCAACCCATCCTTTTCACACAGGCCTTTATTTCCCCTTCACCTTCCCTGTCACTTACATCCCTCCACGTCTACCTGAGTATGCCCTTTCATATCCAACCAAACACTGAACCTCAAGTGCCAGGCATGACGACAGACCCCCCATTTATCAACAACAACGAACCAACCCCCTTTCCAGCCCAGAACAGTCTAAATAACAACCGGCAGACTAATTGCCATACAAGCTGTGCCACATACCCCAAACACGCGCACCAAAAGACTCCCACCCCCAATCACCAAACCAACCGACAAGACCGGACCCTCGGTGTTGCTAAAGTTCTCCGTTCCTTGGCCAATTTTCTACTTCACTCCTTCCCACCTTGGTTCCGAAATCTCGGACTTCTCTTCGGTGATTTGGGTTTTTTGACGCATGGTTGACTTCTTAGCTGACTGTCCATACGTACTCGGAAATAATGTTCCCAGCCCCAAAACTCAAATCCCACAACCTCTACCTGCTTCGCAAAAAACACCATAGTGCAATAAACTACTATAAATAAAAGCTCCTAATTGTTCCTCAACATACCTAAATTTACATACCCCATCCCCTGTAAAGTGCCCTTATTCCAGCCACACCCAAGCAGTTCCAGCTAACAGTCATGACTTCACCAACGTAACCCCAATCCTGAAGAAGAAACATCGTGACCCATCCCGGACTCAAGGTATAAAAGGTTCAGCGCTCCCCCAACAGATAAGGTTTCTCTTTCTTTAAATACCTGGCATGCAAAAGTTTCCAAGTTTCCTGCTTGTATCCCCCAAAAAGGTTCCCGGAACGGACGGAGTAAGTTACTCGCATGAACGTCCCACATTTGCCCTTTCCCCGCACTCGACACATCCTTAACCTGCTTCCCCCAACACCACTTCCTTGAATTCTTATACCAGGTTTTGGGACATTATAACCCATACCATCTCGTTGGTTTCTAACAGCCTCACCTCACACATATCACTTCACAGTTTAACACAATTATTTTACGTTCAAAATATTTCTCATTAACTCCCCTCATTATATAACCCCCGTCTCGTGTCTAATCATCTATTTATTTTGTCTTGCCAGACTCTCCTTGTCTTTTTGGACGATTTTGCTTCTTGTCTTGTCACGCGCTTCCCGCCAGACCAAATAAACAGAATAGCATAAATCACCGCTATCAACAGTCGAGTCAAACGAGAAACGCCGTCCTTTGCCTGAAGCGCCGCCACTCAACCCCGTTCCAGCACAGCGTGGGAACTTTTTGAAAGCCAAAAACGAGAAAAAATAAAACTCCGAGTCGGTCCCAACAAAAAGTCATTGGGATAATGCTTGGTGTCCGCTCAGGCTGGTCCAGTCCAGGAAAGAGGGGCGTAGAGATGTTGCGTTTGGCCTGAAAGCAATGGAACACCTCGCTAGGTACGGCGTGGAAGGGCCGGGAATGATGATAATATATACAGGAGCTCCCCTCTTTTACAACTCCGAGTCATGGCTGAAGGATCCTGTTAAGAATAAGTAAC